TCATCATCTTCTTCTTCTTCTTCATCTTCATCTTCATCTTGTTTCACTTGCACTTTTTTTTCATTGTTTTATTTTTGTCTCTTATGCCTCATTTATGAAACCACTTACAAATGAGTCAATATTTTTAAATAATAACAACAACAACAAACATTTTTGTCAGTTATTGCTTTCAAAAACCAATAAAACATTGATTTTGTATTTGCAAATAATAATCATAGAAGAAAACTTCAAAAATTGAACCAAATTAGTATTTCTTTAGTTATCACAAAAAAAAGTATGAAAAAAATAAGCATTAATCATTATTGTTTTATTTTTAATACATAAATGTATATGTATATTGAAGCCAAACCTTTCTTATTTTGTTAGGTTCCTTACAACCAGAATTGTACAGAAGACGTGGTTCATCAATTGTTCAAGAAGGAACTTCTGGATGTCCGTCAATCTGTAGGATACACTTACAATTGGCATACGATTTTGCCAAATCAGATTTTATGGTTTCTTTTTTACAAGGTACATCATTTTTTTTTTCTTTGCTTTTAAGTTCAGTTTTCTCCTTCTTACGTTACAAAATTGTTTTCTGCTTTTGGTGAATTAGTTAGCGGCCAGCTGTCAGATATTGAAGGTGCGCTTTCTGAGCAAACTGGTCACTAAACTAGTTAGCCTTCCTCCATCAGCTAGTTATAGTTGAAATTCTTTTTTTTTTTGGTCATTCTTATTTGCTTCTTCAACTAATCTATGACTCAGCTGCTAACACAGAAGGAATTGCAGAAGTAATAGTTTTTTTTATTGTTTTAAATTTAGCTATAAAAAACAGCTAAAGAAAAATAAAAGAAATAAGATATACTGACTTTATCACAGAAGAAAGGAGTAAAAATAAGACCACTTCTTTGCAATGGTTGTTAAAAATATGCTGACTAAAAAGATAAAGAAATATTTAACTGTTTTTATGATTTTTCTGCGAATTTTGAGTAGTGTGCAGAAATTTCACATCATTATTTCAGCACCAAAACAAAAGAAGTCTTTTCAAATAATATTTAAATTTTTCTTTGATTTTATTGTTCTGCAAATATATCAAATCATTTCAGGAGAAATTATTAATTTGTCCACAAAACAAAAGATCAACTAATTCAAATA